TTCTTGACCAGCTAGTAAATGCGGAATAATTAATTATGGGGGTCAGCTGTAGGTGCATTTAATCAAAAAGGGTTCTGCAGCACTGTTGGTGTTATAATTATTAAAGGTACCAGGTCCACTGATTATGGCATGCTGATCTATTTGTCAGAATGTGACGTGTGAATGACACCTTTGGCTCTGGTTCTGTCCAGAGGGAGCAGGCTGAGGCCCTGTACGAGAGCCTGCATGTATATATGCATATGTACAAACCACTGACACATCTTTATCTAGCATTCATTCAACAGGTGCTCGCGAGAATGAGGTTGACAAGATCATGGGACGTGATAAGCAGAAACAGGTATGTATGCATACAATGTCCACTAATTACTTATCAAAAAGTTCTATTGCAGAACACCAACACCTCAGCATCACGTTCAAAGCGCATCACAGCAACCAAAACTTGCACTCAAGTACAGGACCAACTTGATGATGATGATGACAACGCAGCCTCAGACTTTAGAGACAAGGACTTTGCGGACGATCGGAAGGAGGCACTGGGAGGAGACGAAGACGATGCAGAGACAGGGTCACAGGTAGGGGACATCATTGAAGGGGAAAGTGTTGATGAGGAGAGCTTTGAGGAGGAAAGTGTTTCCACGTCACGCAAGAAGGTACCGAAGATGCTTTGTGTCCCATCAGTAACTTCGACTAACCTGACTTTGCCAGATGAAGAACAGCAAAATCACCAAAGCCGCACCGAAAGCAAAGGTAAGTTGTCTTTGCATTGTTTGTATGCTCTACTGATGGTGTCAGTCAATTGGAAAAACAAACATGAAACACAAGAGTTGCGACACTCCAAGTGATGTAGAAGACGACACACCAACCTCTGCAAGCACCAAACGTAAAAAAGACAAGAAAGCTGTCAAAGGGGTAAGAGAGTTTTTTGCTGTTTTACTATCATACTCACCCGACACCCACTGCAGTCTTCCTTTGACTCGAACAACATTCAAGAATTTTTGATGGGCCAGGTCCCAAAACCACCTACCTTGCTCGGCAAGAACACGGGAGTATACGCTGCTGGATTGCAGGCTGGCACTGCACTTCGTACCCTCCAGGCATCGGAGTCAATACTCAATTTGAAGAAACTGAAACTGTCAATCCAGACATACCACAACTTGCGTGAAACTAATCCGAATATCACACTTTCGACCGTGATCAGCAGCTTTGGTGTTGGCAAAGACCCCTCTGTCGACATGGATGCCATCATCGCCCTATATGGTAAGCATTCTCTTTTGCCTGCAAGTCTCTCAACTCATTCGTTGATGCAGATTCTTGATTACGATCTGGCAACACGACTTTCTCCTACAGTACCTTTCGTCCGCCTACATCCTGCAGTCCGCCATCTTCTCTTTGCAATGCTTACTCTGTGACACAAACTGGTCTCCTCGTCATTACCTTGCATTAGCTTTCAGTTTAAATCTCACGCTCGTCCCGGTTTTTCTTCTCACTTGTCGTTCTTGAAATTCAGTGGAAAAAGGATTCGCACAGGAGTCGTGTGAGTGTAAAGCAAAAGGCGAAGGTACATGCTCGATATCATCTGTGTACAACCCAATGCTGACCTTCCGCACTCGCTACCCAAGACTGTCCCATTTCAGTGTCTAGTACTCCATCACCAGCCTCTCCCGCTCCGACAGCAGCCTCCTTTGCCTCGCCCTCCTCACCTATCACTTCTCCTGCTGCCCTGCCTTCTCCAACGCTTCGTTTGTCGCCCTTGATGCTTTGTCTGCCGCCCTGAACGCTTCACTTGCTGCCCTTAACACTTTGTCTTCGCTTCCACTCCGTGAGTCTTTTCTCTGGCCCTAAGCTCTCGTGTACATTCTGCCATGGCGTGTGGTCGCATGACTATTGCTCAAGCTGCAACAGTCAGCACTGTCAGAAATCATTGACACGCATCCGGCTGACAGGTACATGTTCTTTATTTACATGTACATGAGTTTACTGATGCCTCGATATGTGGTAAGGGGGGGGGTTATGGGAGAGTACATCATGTCCACGTGCGAGTAGAGCAGACCTTGTTGGGGATGGTGGGAAGTGTCGTATCATAGACTGTGAATCGAATGATGTTTCAGATCCAATCTACATGCATTGGAAAACCTGGCCTGACCGGAGTTGAACTAATCGAATGCAATGACTATTCGCTATGGATTTCCGCATTGGCTTCGTGTGTAAAAATCCAAACGACAAGTCCACACTTATTGCCAGAGCCGGAGAGGCAAAAAAAATGAACCCGACCCGGATTGAACGGATGACCTTATGGAATTCCCACGCTCGTACTTGAACATCTGGAATCATACGCGCTACCACTGCGCCACGGGTCCTTGAAATACTTTCATTCCTTGTCATCTTAGACAGATTTTGATTTTTTAGCTGGTCAGTAAGCTTCAGTGGGAGTGCGGAACCTTTGGTGCTCTCACACGGCCCGGCGCGTCTCTGCGCACAACAGTTATGTCTAACTTGTATCGTTCAGCTATCGGAGCACGTCTTTCAAAGCTTCCTAATTTGCCGCCAATCCCAACCCCGCACCCTGCTGTACATGAGGAGGGTGAGGAGGATGAGGAGGGCGAAGAGGCTGACTCGATAGGATCTCTTCCAGGCAGCGGTATGGGTCCTCCAGCAATGTCAGCTTCGATCTATTGCTACGCGAACGGCACTGAAATTTTCTGCAGGGTAAGCCACAGCACACGCACCCGTAGACCCCCCAATGCAACATTTACACCCATATCCGCTGCCGCATTTTTTGCCGAAGCGCTTCAATCCACGGTGCCAGCATCTCATCTTGATTTTCGTGTGTACTACACTGCACCGAAAGCCAAAGATAGCGCCGGTACAGTGATGATATGCCACCACGGCGCCGGCACCTCGGGACTGAGCTTTGCTTGCTTTGCAAAGGAAGTCACAGACATGACGGAGGGAGAATGCGGAGTGCTCGCTTTGGATGCAAGACGGCACGGTAAGGATCTTCCACAGATTACACCGCGGTACTCATCACTTATTATAGGAAAGACTACACCCACCTCTGATGCGCCGAATGCAGACCTTTCCATTGGTGTACTCGTGTCAGATCTTTTTGCTCTGATACAAACGCTATTTCCCGACCCAACTATCGCTCCAACATTGATAGTGCGTGTATCTGTATTCAGATGACTTAGATCTCACCAGATGCGCAGCTGATTGGCCACAGCATGGGTGGCTCCGTTGTCACACGAACTTGCCCCCTTTTAATTGATAAAAAGTATCACGTTGGAGGCGTCGCAGTCCTAGATGTTGTTGAAGGTTTGGCATCAATTATTTCATACCATCCAACTCTTCACTCATAACCAGTCAGGCTCGGCGATGGAAGCTCTACCTCACATGCACAGTTTACTGAATGCGCGTCCTGACGGTTTCGACAGCCCGGAGGAGGCCGTCGAGTGGCATGTCACAACGAACGCGATTCAGAACCCGACCTCGGCCCGAGTTTCTGTTCCTTCCATAGTCCGTCCAGCGACAAACCCCTCGCCTGCAGCCCCTGCATATGAGTGGCGCACAACCCTGCGCTCTACAGCTCCTTACTGGACCAGTGCGTCTCTTCTGTCTGGGTTGTATAAAATCAGTTAACGAAATCCCTCAGGCTGGTTTATCGGTCTTTCGGCGAACTTCTTAGCCGTGCGCACCGCGCGTTTGCTTGTGCTAGCTGGGACGGATAGGCTAGATAAAGAGCTTATGATTGGTCAGATGCAAGGCAAATTCCAAATGGTTGTTGTTCCCGGGGTCGGCCATATGCTCCAAGAGGTGTGTTTTGGGACAATGTTCTCTATTCATTGCTAATGCCCTATGCAGGATAATCCGACCAAGATCGCTGAGATTTTAGTAGATTTCTGGAGGAGGAACGAAAGATTATTAGCGGGAATTAAGAAGGTCGGGGAATTATAGGGAGGATGGCTTCTGTATGTATCACTAGTACTATAACTTCGCGTAAGAATCAAATGTGATGTATTAACTATGGAGCCAAGGGTGCAGTATTCGGATCAACCTCTGCCTTTTCTTCCTTTCTGCTACCTACTGGTAAACCGGCGAACTTGGATCGCAAGCCTTCGTATTTGCGTCTTTGGGCTACGCTGACACTTGGTCCCACTTTCTCCAATGCACGTACAAAGTCAGACAGAGTAACAGTGACGATTGGCGAGGCGCCGGTGCTGTCGTCCATGTCGTCCAGCGCACCAAGCGTCTTGCGAAGAGCGATGACACCAGCTTCCCTGACAACGGCAGCCAGGTCTGCACCGCTGTAGCCTTCGCATTTCTCCTTCACTAGATCTTCCACAGCCTGGATGATTTCGCAGCCATCCAATGGCACCTTCCTGACCATCGTCCTGACAATCTCCGCCCTCTCTTCTGCCTTTGGTAGATCAACATATAACAACTTGTCAAGTCTGCCGGGGCGGACCATGGCGGGGTCTATCATATCTGGCCTGTTCGTAGCTGCGATGACATAGACACTCTTACGTGCGTCTAGGCCATCGAGTTCCGTGAGAAGAGTGTTGACAACTCGCGCGGATGATTCTGATAGGCTGTCGTCGCGTCGAGGAACTAGCGCATCGAGCTCGTCGAAGAATATGACGCAGGGTGAGGAGGCACGAGCGCGTGAAAATACTTGGCGTACTGCACGCTCGCTTTCGCCAACATACTATAAGGAATTCTTTGAGTTATCTGCAAGAAAAGGGGAAGGTGAGGGTGCATTACCTTATTGAGTAGCTCTGGCCCCTTGACACTAATGAAATTCGCCCTCGACTCATTTGCGACTGCTTTGGCGAGCAAAGTCTTCCCACATCCAGGAGGCCCCCACAGGAGCACACCACAGGCAGCCTCAATTCCCACAGCACTGAAGAGCTCTGGTCGTCGTATTGGCTGTACTATTGCCATGTGAAGCTCCTCCCTTGTTCCATGAAGTGCACCGATGTCGGACCATGTAACATCGGGCACTGTCGCGAAGCCCTCGCGCTTGGAGGAGGGCTGCACCTGCTTCAGTGCAAGTGTAAAATCAGACGATGTGATGCAGAGGGGAGCCAGCTGCTCCTCCGTAAGCGGGTCGGGATGAGCATTGAGAAAGTGTGCAATGGTGCCTCCAGTGGATGAATGAAATGGTACCCCAGAAAAAGGGCCGGTCCTTGGCGGCATCGCGGTAGAAGCAGAAGGTGGCAGTGGTTGGGCGGCATGTGCGGGTAACGGCGGGTCGATGATCATGGTGACATCCTGGTCCACTTGAGCCGATGGTTCCGGCAGAATCAATGTGCCATCTGAGAGTTGCTTGAAAATGCGCTTGACAGCTATGATGCCCGCCGCGCCAGTCAAGGCAGATAAATCGGCACCCACATAGCCGGGCGTAGCTTTGGCCAGCGCGGTGAAGTCGAAAGCTCCTTCCAATCGGAGTCGTGAGCATAGAACCTGCAGAATTCTAAATGTAGTCAGCTACCTGAGAGTTAAAGGATAGATAAGATACGGACTTTGCTCGTGCTTCTTCATCGGGCACACCCATACTGATTTCGTGGTCGAATCGGCCCGCTCTTCGCAAGGCCGCATCAAGCGAGTCAGGGCGATTCGTCGCACCTATGACTATCACAGGCTTATTATCGTTCTTCTCCCAGGACATGTCTGTGGGAAATTGTGTTAGAAAGAAATGCAGTATTGACGTTGTAGGCGCACCATCCATGCAAGTGAGAAATTGTGCTACTATCCGCCGCTCCATCTCTCTCTGCGCACTCTCGCGCTTCGGAGTGATAGCATCTATTTCGTCGATGAAAAGGAGGCAAGGCGCTACCCGCTGGGATATACTTCAGCACATACAGCAAGATGAGTCTAGGTTAATTTCCCACCTTAGCCTCATCAAATGCATCGCGGAGAGTCTTTTCGGACTCTCCTGACATCCCTGAAACTATAGATGGCGCTGAGATGTTGATGAATGGCACGCCTAGTTCCTGCGACCAATCGTCAACCAGCCGTCCGGAACCAGATCGAGACAGACATACCCCCGCCATAGCATTCGCTAGCATCGTCTTCCCGCACCCTGGTGGCCCATGCAAAAGTACGCCTCTAGGCGGCTGAACACCGGTGTGTAGGTACACTTCTGGGTGGCACAACGGCATCGCGACCAGCTCCAACATCTTCTCGACGCATGCATCGACCCCGCCTAGGTCGGCCAGCCGCGTGGTAGGAGGCGCGTAATCCTTGTCTTTAGATGTTGATGCATTTGCAGACGTCAATTTGGCTCGCTTGCTACTCTCATCGCCACTTCGCGTTGAGCGTATCTTTCTTTTTGTGTTCGCAGGCGACCCTCGCGAATCGGAGGGCGGTATTCCATCGGCGTTGCCCTGGTTAGCCGAAGAGTTCATAGGAGTAGTTGGCAGCACATCCAAATCAGCAGCATCGACCGTTGGTTCCAACTCGTCGATGGAAGGGGTAGGGATGGGTGTGGTCGTCGCTGAGGCGACTTGTGGGGAGTTGAGGTTCAATTTGCTGCGTCGATGATTCGACCAGAGCCCTTGCATGGACTTGTTCAGCGCATTTGAGCCCTGTCTGACTACTTGTCAGCAGACCGATCAGGTAGAGAGGTGATCTGCTCGTACAGAAATCTCCATCATCGAAGGTCAAGAAAATAGTTTCAGCAGCGATCGGCAAAGGGTCCGGTCCAAGGACTACGTCCTGATAAGGTAAGAGGTTGGGAAATAAAGTCACCAAGTGCATCATAGAGATTGATAACCTCGCAGTAGCACTTCGATTCACACGAAATATCAACGGACAACTTGGTCGCGAAGAGTATCATCGACGGGGGTATGTCAAGCATTCATATAGAACACTCCAGGGAATAATGTTAAATCTACTCCGAATCCAGGAAACGAGGTAAAACAGGATAGCAAGTAACAAAACATACATGCAAGATTTTACTACACGGGAACCAGTAGGAGCAATGAAAGCGAGATAGCAGAAAATGTGGTTTGTAAAACAGGTGCGATGCAAGATGTGCGATGGTGAGATGTGTTGATGAGCGATGAGCGGTGTGCAAAACGAGAAACTGGATGTGAGTAGCCGACAGCAAGTTCAAATGAGGTTGTAGATAGCGGAGGATTAGGCGTGTATGACAGGGTGAGAATTAGGCATGAAGAGCGGTCAGGATAGCGTAAAACCATTATCGGCCCCCATGGTCGCCCGCGTACGGAAATTGATTAGGCTGCCGCTGCTGCGGCTGGTGCCCAGGAGGTGGCGTGACTCTCTGCAGCCGTGGCAGCCCGCCGTCGTTAACAAGGATTACGTCGCTCCTGTCCCTTGGAGGGGGGGCTACTGCGCC